CCAGGTGGAGTGCTTTCACCTTAGGGAGCCCATTGAATAGAGCCCTTGAATTTTGGGTGGCCAATATCCCTGATAAGCTCCGGGTGAGGTGGAGGGGAGAGGGGAGAAGTTGAATCTGAGTTCAAGGTTTCTGGTGAGGAACTACCACATCTAGGCTTCAGATTTACTACTGATCAAGATGGAGTTTAGTATTTATGATCTAAACCTCACGCAGCAACAAGCCAGACCCGAACCTTACTGCTATGCGTCAAACTGTGTCCTGTTGGTGCCACAGCCCTTCCAAAAATGTATATGTTGCAGTCCTAACTGGTACCTCAGGATGTGACCTTATTTGGAGATAGGATCTTTTCAGAGGTAATCAAACTAAACGATGTCATTAGGGTGCGTCCTGTCCAAAATGACTGGTGTGTCTTTATAACAGGAGGAAATTTGGACACAGATTTGCATAGAGGGGCTGGGCACGGTGGCTCACGCCTGTAATCCCAGCACTTCGGGAGGCCGAGGCAGGTGGATCAGCTGAGGTCAGGAGTTTGAGACCAACCTGGCCAGCATGGCGAAACCCCAATTAGCTGGGCATGGTGGTGCATGCCTATAATCCCAGCTACTCAGGAGGCTGAGGAAGGAGAATCACTTGAACCTGGGAGGTGGAGGTTGCAGTGAACTGAGATCATGGCACTGCACTCCAGCCTGGGGCGACAGAGTGAGACTCATTTTCAAAGAAAAAAAAAAAAGATTTGCATAGAGTGAAGACAATGAAGAGATACAGGGAGAAGGCCATTTACAAGCCAAGAAGAGAAGCCTGGGACAGATCCTCTCCCCTCAGCCATGAGAAGGAACCAACCTGCTGTCATCTTGATGCTGGGCTTCTAGCCTGTGGATGTGAGACAACAGATTCCTATTGTTTAACCCCTCCGTTTGTTATGGCAGCCCTAGCAAATGAATACACCTTCCTACTCACATTTTGGGATAATTTAAGCAAGCTAGGGGGAGGGGTGTGAAAACGTGTGTATGGCCAAAAGAAAAAGGTATGAGAAGAGTTGGGTCTGCACAAAACAGAATTGTAGGTGCAAAGAGAACACATGTATCCAGCAGAGAACTCTTTGTGTGACAAGGCCTGTGTTTGGGTGAGAGTGTGGTTTATATGTGAAAAAGAGCTGTGTGTTTGCTCGAAGCATGAGTACTGCATGCATTGAAGGAAGTACATATGTGTAAGAAATCAACATGCATAGCACATGTGCAGACACATAAGGGAGAAAGTGTGTGAGGATGTATATGTGTGAGGGAGAGAAAAGTGTGTGTGTGTGTGTGTGTGTGTGTGTGTGAGAGAGAGAGAGAGAGCGAGAGAGAGCGAGAGAGAGAGAGAGAGAGAGAGATTTTTTTTTTTTTTTTGAGACCAAGTTTTGCTCTTGTTACCCAGGCTGGAGTGCAATGGTGCGATCTTGGCTCACAGCAGCCTCCACCTCCCGAGTTCAAGTGATTCTCCTGCCTCAGCCTCCCGAACATCTGGGATTACGGGCATGAGCCATCATGCCTGGCTAATTTTGTATTTTTAGTAGAGACAGGGTTTTCCATCTTGGTCAGGCTGGTCTCAAACTCCCAACCTCAGGTGATCCACTTGCCTTTGCCTCCGAAAGTGCTGTAATTACAGGGGTGAGTCACTGTGCTCTTCGGAGAGATATATTCTGTAGGATAATGCTGGCCAAGACACAAAGGGCAGAAGAGAGCCACATCTAACTGCCTTGCCCACACTGCTGTTTTTGGGGAAGGCCTCTGCTTATTGAACCGGCTTGGAGAGAGATGACTCCTTTGCAAGTTACAGGTTGGCCATCACAGTGTTTTAGCTTGGCCCCATTCTTGTCAACATTTTTAAACCAGGCAAATTCAGCTCATTTGAGAAAATATTTTGAAATTACTTTTCCATGTTTTGGTTCGAGTTCAATCAAGACATAAAATAAGGGTCAGGTTCCAGGAAAAACAAATCTAATCATTTGCACTTGTGTGCTGGCATTTAAATCAATGAACTAGAAGCAGGGAGATGATTCATTAAATAAGAAAATCATAAACAACTTTTTCATCGAATTTCATTGCTTTTCTTAGTTGAGAAAAGAACTAACTTAATTAGTTCTATCAACTAATGAATTCTTAGGTGGTAGGACTTTACGCATTTCTAAAATTCATTATAGATCTTCAAAAATAGGATTAAATGGTTTCTGTCAAAGTCATTGTTTTAACTAGTTAAGGTATGGGACATCTTCCCAGAAATTTTTCCCTCAGAGTAACATCATATTCACTTTCATTCTTCTGTTGAGCCAAATTACACTTTTGTCATGGTTGAAAGTGATCACCTATTTAAAGAAAGGAATTCATTTTTGGAATGAATTCTTCCATAGCAGGAGTGGGAAAATATAGCCCAGGGGCCAAATCCACTCAGTTGACTACTTTTTGCTTTTTATTTTTGTTTTGTAGTCCATGAGCCAATAAGTATACTTTTTACATTCTTAAAAGGTTACCTTCAGGTGGGGAGCAGTGGCTCTTACCTGTAAGCCCAGCACTTTGGGAGGCTGAAGCAGGATAATTACTTGAGGCCAGGAGTTCCAGACCAGCCTGGTGACAGAGTGAGGCCCTCATCTCTAAAAAAAAAAAGAAAGAAAGAAAGAAAACAATGAAGTTACATTTTAAATAGTTATAGAAACCTCAATTCTGCCTCCTAGAAGGCATTGACTAAAATATCGACCTCTTGCCATTTAAGAAAAATTTGCTGACCTCTGTTCTATGGGATTTTATCTGCCTGGTAAGACATAGGCTGTCAAAACGTAAAGAGAAAAAAATCTAAGGGCATTTTTCACAGTGATTATTGGTTTAGCAGTTACAGTAACTAACCCAAACCAGGGATTGGACATTTGGGCTAATGTTAGTTAATTCAACATCTTATTCTGCACGTTTTTACTAGAGTGGCTGAAATGAGATGAGTTATACCCTAGAAAGATAAATGCAGTTCCAGAATGTTCACTGCAGTCTGGTTTATAATCTCAACTCAAATGTCTATCAACAGAAGAATGTATGTATGACTTGTGCACTACTCATACAATGGAATATTATTTAATAGTTCAAATGAATAAACTAGAGCTATATATATGATCAGACGGATCTAACAATCTCGAGCAAAACAAGACACACTGACCAGGTTTCAGAATGAAATAGGATGGTAACACGCAGGAAGTTGTAAAGCCGATAAAAATTCTCTATATGATACATGAGCAAATGTTATGCAGTAATAGTATAAAAACAGGAATGGGATGCTTTGGAAGAGTACTAGGGGTGACCTGAGGAGGGCTTCCACTGTTTGCAATATTCATGTCTTATATAAACAGTTGAAGCAAGTGTGGCACGATGTTAGGATTGGCTGGTTCTTGAGCACATGGGCTCTTTAGATTACTCTCTTAGTTTAGTGTGTTTGAAAATTTCACAATGAGAAAAGTCAAATGTGGGTGTTTGAGCTATTTCATAATGAGAAAAGGAAAATGATGCTGCCGCCAATCGAGTACGGCGAGCTGCAGGGATTGACCCAGGCTGCTTTTTCACTGAGAACCTGCAGTGTGCTGGCAGGTGCTGGGGCCTACACCTCACTCCCTGCTTTTATTGCTTAACCACCCAGTCCAGATTTGTGAACTGCGAGTTTTCAGGGCGTTTTCAAAGACAGTGGTTGTTAGGCCCAAGGCTAGGGGTCCTAGCGGTGAGTGGCAGGGGGTCCAGGGCCGGTTTCCTGAGTCCAGTTCTGCTTCTGACTGCCTCTTGAAAACACAGGGGCCTGTGTTTTGCACAAAAAAAAAAAAAAAAAAAAAAAGGGGGAGAGAGAGGAAAGAAAAAGAAAAAGGAAGAAAGAAAAAAGAAAGGAAGCAAAAGAAAGAAAGAAAAAAGAAAGGAAGCAAAAGAAAGAAAAAGAAAGAAAAAAAGAAAAGAAAAGAAAGATCTCGAATTTTCTTTGTTTCTTGTCTCAGCTTCCTCCAGTTTTACTTCTGCCCCGTGCTCGTCTCTGGGGCCACTTCAGCAGCAGCCGCCAGTGAGGTTTGCAGGGACTCATCTGAGGTTCGTTTATTTCTTCCTTCCTTCACTCATTTTTTTCCGACCTGTCACCAGGAAAAGCTGGCCGGGTTCCACCCGCAGGGGCCCAGAGTTCCAGAATCTTCCTCTTCCTCTGTTGATCTCAGGCCGGTCCCCTCGTGGGCCGCTCGCCGACCTCGGCTGTTGGGGACCGGGTCCCCCGATCTCCCGCGGCTTGAGCGCTCGGCGGCGGTGGGGAGAAGACCGTGGGCGCCGCGGTGACCGCGCTCGGTCGGGCTCAGTCCCGCTGGCCGAGCGTGCGTGTCCAGGGGCCCCTGCGGTGCAGTTTTCGGGAGGCCTGGGCTCCACTCCCGCAGCCTCACAGCCATGCCGCGTCCCGTCTGGGCGCCTGCGTTCCCAAGCGGCAAAATGACCTCGGTCCTCCGAGGGGTCTCCCAGCCTCTGTCCAGATCTTCTTCCCCGCTAAGTGCCCTGTCCCCGGCGGGGGCGTCCAGTGTGGCCCCGCAGGAATGTCGGGGTGCGTGGCCCGAGGGTGGGACGGGGCCGCTACAGGGAGGGCGGCCTCGGGAAGAGCAGGGAGGACGCGGCACCACCGAGCGCAGAGGGCGCACGGAGCCCGGGGCTGGCGCTCAGGTGCGAGGTTCCTACCATCTTTCTGAACCCACGCGGGTGGGCGAGGGATGGGACCCGGCAGCCGCCAGGGCAGGACCAGCGGGCAGGGCGGCCCCACACGGCGACCTTCCCTGGGACGCGGGAGCCGGGAGCGCGTCTTTGTTGGGAACAAGGGCGGGCGGGTCAGGATAAAACTGGGGTTCCAGGCCCGGGGCGCGAACCCGAGTGGGAGTGCGCGGGGGCTCCCCTCGGTCCCTGTCACCTGCGCCAGCAGTCGGGCGCCGCTGGGGGTGCCGGGCCCGCGCCCTCCCCCGACCCTTCCCCGGCGGAGGTCCTGGGGCGGCCGCGGAGGAGGGCCGGGCGGTGGGCTCGGCCGCCCCGAAGACCCGGAGAAGTGGACCACAGGGGGCGGCAGGTGTCAGGGGTCGAGTCCTCCGCGCAGGCCGCGGCTCCGGAGATCCGGGCTTTGCCGAGCGCCCCGCGCCTCGTCCGGGGCCAGGGCCTGGGCCGGGGCCGGGCTCTGCGGCCGCCAGCGCTGCCTGGAGGCTGGGCTGGGTTCTGTCGGCGGCGGGCGGTCGGGAACGGGGCAGCGACGACAGGACAAAGGGCCCGAGGTAGGAGCGGTCCCGCCGGGCGGCGCGGGCGCGGGGTTGTAGGGGGCGCTGCTCGGGCGGCGGGGGGGTGCTTGGCGCGGGAAGAGGCGCCCAGCCAGACGCGGGCACTTCCTGGCCTTGGTCCCGGGAAGGAGGTGAGAGGTGTCCGGGGTCGACCCTGGGAGCGTGTGGGGACCTGGGTAGTGCCGCTGCCGTGCGCAAGTGCGTGCGTGTGTGCGCTTGCGTGTGCATGTGTGTGCGTGCGTGCATGTGATGTGTGCGCGTGTATGGGTGTGCGTGCGTGCATGTGATGTGTGCGCGTGTATGGGTGTGCGTGCGTGTGTGTGCGTGCATGTGTGCGTGTGTATGGGTGTGCGTGTGTGCACGTGAGTGTGCGCGTGTATGGGTGCGTGTGCTGTGAGAGCACGCGAGGCGCCTGGCGTTTGGCACGTTTGGCACATGGTGAGCGCTCGGTAGGCGGGAGCTGTGAACGGCGGCGACGGTGATAATCGTATTGCAAGGGTGTGTGTTTATCTGACTCTGTGTGTTTACGGGGACTGTCTGGAGCCTAGAGTGGCAGCCACATATTCCCAGCACTTGGGACCCGGGGGAAAATTTTGGGGCATCTTTCCTGAGTGGCCCTGGGACGTTGGTTTAGGGGCTCCTGCACTTGAAGACGAGGGTTCAGGGGAGGGGGGGGATTCCTAACTGGATCCCAGTTTAGGTCCTGGGAACAAAGGCTGCTTCCCAGAAGTACAAGAAGGGGTGTGTGTGTGTGTGTGTGTGTGTGTGTGGCCCAGCCACTGGGGCGCCGGCGGCTGGAGGCCGGGAGAGCCACCATTCGTGCAGAGGGACGCCCGGCCATTTTGCTGTCAACTCTCTTTTGATCCCTGGTCTTGAGGACCTGCAAAAAAGAACTACTACTTACTTTGTACACTGAAGCTTTTCTTTAATAAACTTTTATTAGAGAGTTAAGTGTTACTTCAGGACTTGAAAGACTTTTTATTATCCCTTTAAAACAATAAATGTGTAAATTTAGCTTGAGTAAACACTCCTTTATTCCTAGTGAGAGCACTTTAATTTCTGCATTTAACCTGGGAATTAGACAAGGGGTTTCTGAGCTTCGTCGTCTGTAAATACTGTGGTTGTGCTGCCTGGTTTGTTGCACTTTGTAGGAAAATGTTATTGGGAGTTATAAAGGCCAATTAGAATTCCATGTCTCTATCCTTTTAGGATTTCTTAAATCTCTGGGCAGCTTTGCAGAATTGTTCATAAGCAATCTATTGTTTCCAGACCTTATTTTCTGAGTGCTTTCTCAGAAAAGTTTGTTTCTAGGAAAGAAAAACCAAATTTAAATATGAAACAATTAAACGGAACAACACAGGTGAGAAAATTTTTCTACAGGTCTTTTTCCATGCCAAAATCTGGTTCATTTAAAGTTTGCAGTGTGATCTGTGGCATTTCAGTTCCCAGCTGCAGTGCATGAGGTGTTCTGCTTATTCTTTCAGGGACAAGCTTTTTTTTTTTTTTTTTTTTTTTTTTTTTTTTGCATATGAAGTAAACTCGGGAGCTAGGGACAGCTCACACCTGGAATCCCAGCTACTTGGGAGACTGAGGCCAGAAGACTGCTTGAGGCCAAGAGCTCAAGACTAGCCTGGGCAACATGGTGAGACTCCCATTTCTTAGAAAAAAAAAAAAAAGAAAAAAAATTAGCAGGGCATGATGGCACATGCCTGTAGTTCTAGCTACTTGGAACCTAAGCCAGAGGGTCACTTGAGCCCAGGGGTTCGAGGCTGCATGAGTTACAATCGTGCCACTCCACTCCACTGCACAGAGCAGTGGGTAAAAAAAGCTCAGGCTGAAACTGAGTCCCATCTTGGCCTTTCTTGTTATTGCAGATGGTTTAAATGGTTTATTGGTTGTTTAAAATGATTCTGATTCATGAAGATAGCCAATTAGATCAATACCTGAAATCTTTTGCTGGGTAGGTAATTAGTAGCAACATTTATTTTATTTATTTTTATTTATATATAGTTTTTGAGACAGTCTTGCTCTTTTACCCAAGTTGGAATACAGTGTCACAATCTCAGCTCACTGCCAACCTCCGCCTCCTGGGTTCAAGTGATTCTTGTGCCTCAGCCTCCTGTGTAGCTGGGGTCCCAGGTATGTACCACCATGCCCAGCTAATTTTTGTATTTTTAGTAGAGGCAAGGTTTCACCATGTTGGCCAGGCTGGTCTCGTTATCCATCTGCCTCAGCCTCCCAAAGTGCTGGGATTACAGGTGTGAGCCACCACACCCAGAAGCTACATTTGAATCATCTGTATTTACCTGTTGTCACTTTCAATAGGAGAGGTTTTGATCTCAGACAGCCTGTCTAAAAGGATTCTATGCTTGGTATGAAGTTGATCACTGTTTCTTTCATTTAGTAAGCAATTTATTGAATGCCTGTGGCATTATAGATGTTCATTCTATACCATACCATTTTACTTGACATTAGAAACCTTCTTTTAAAGAAAACTGGGTCCACTTTGGGGATTCAAAATTTGAATTATTTAGAAATTCCAGAGTGTTCTGAGGCAATTTCAAAGTAGAGCTAATGAATGGTTAGAAATCAGAATGGGAAAGAGATAAGTGTCACACAAAGAGAGAGGACAAGCCCCCAGAATGCTGCCCATACCCAGGGACGGGACATTTGCAGGAACCGCTGGCAGGATGGGCTTGTCTTACAGTAACTGGTGAAGGGAACTTGCTTTCAGGAATCTCACCTTTCCTCTTCTAGCATTCTCTGTTCTAGACTTGGAAAGGAAGCAGTTAGGGCTTTTGAGGGGACAATGGACCGTTAGGGCTGTCTTTGGACAGTTCATAGAACTCTGGGCTAGCTATTCCAGAGCATCCAGGGGGACCTCTAATTCCTTCATAGTGACTCTAGGCAGTTAACCCTCTCAGCTCTTACACTGCTTAATGGGGAGTCTTAGATATTGGTTTAGTTTCTGGACATACACATAAATTGTAGTACTTTTAAAAAAATTAGTTTTTTTTTTTTTTTTTTTTTTTTTTTTTTTTTTTTTGAGACGGAGTTTCGCTCTTGTTACCCAGGCTGGAGTGCAATGGTGCGATCTCGGCTCACCACAATCTCTGCCTCCTGGGTTCAGGCAATTCTCCTGCCTCAGCCTCCTGAACAGCTAGGATTACAGGCACGCGCCACCATGCCCAGCTAATTTTTTGTATTTTTTTAGTAGAGACAGGGTTTCACCATGTTGACCAGGATGGTCTCGATCTCTTGACCTCGTGATCCACCCGCCTCGGCCTCCCAAAGTGCTGGGATTACAGGCTTGAGCTACCGCGCCCGGCCAATTTAAAAAAAAAAAAATTAGTTTTAAGTTTTATTTTTGTAGAAATGAGATGTCACTATGTTTCCCAGGCTGGTCTTAAACTCCTGGCCTCAAGTAATCCTCCTATCTCTGTCTCCCAGAGTGCTGGATTATAGGCCATCTAATGGTAGTACTTTAAAGTACTTTTAAGTACTTTTAAGCACTAAAAAGGCAGGGGGAGGCTCTTATAGAAGTAATATATATTTGTGAAATAAAATATAAAAGAATACAGAAGAGTTAACAAAAAAAACAAACAAAAAAAACAAACAACGGCTGGATGCCGTGGCTGACGCCTGTAATCCCAGCACTTTGGGAGGCTGAGGCGGGTGTATTACCTGAGGTCAGGAGTTTGAGACCAGCTTGGCCAACGTGGTGAAACCCCGTCTCTACTAAAAACACAAAAATTAGCCAGGCATGGTGGCGTATTCCTGTAATCCCAGCTACTTGGGAGGCTGAGGTACGAGAATCGCTTGAACCCAGAGGTAGAGGTTGTAGCGAGCTGAGATGGCGCCATTGCACTCTATCCTGAGCGACGAGAGCAAAACTCCATCTCAAAAACAAAACAAAACAAAACAACCCAACAGAAATCTATGATTTAGATATAATTACTCTGAACGCTGTCGTGTATTTTTTCCTGTTATAAAAATGAAATTCTATATGCTTCTAGAACTTAGTTAAAATTATATAATTTATATCTCATTTTAATATAATTTATTGTGGACATTGCCTGTTTTGAGATCAGTATTTCTTGACATTGTCATTTTAAATACAATTTTATAGTCTATTGTGTTGATAAATTATAATTCAACTATTTCTCTAGTGGATGCTTGAGCTTTGCCTGTCATTTGTGCTTTTAATGTTCTTTCTATTTTGATAAAACGTCATTGATTGATGGTAGTACACATTTCTCAAACTTGCCTACTCTTAGGAAGTGACAAAAATGCTGAACTTCAGGGACATGAGATGAAAAGAGATGAAGCTTTGCCTCAGTCCTCTTGATCTCAGTGGGATAAGCTAGCTGGCTTTTAACGGCCTCTCATGCCACTGTTCCACCTGCAGCAAAAATGGTTGTATTTTATTGATGCCATCAAATTATGAGCTTCTCAGGAAGAGACATTTATGTCTTAGTTTTGTCTGTATCCCTCGAGTGCCCAGCCAAGGCTTGGCAAGCCACAGATGTTCAAAACATACTGTTTTTCTGAGGGAGAGGGTGTATTTTAGGGGTAGTGTGAGAGACCAAGCCCTTCAGAAATGTGCAGCGACAAGTCAAGTCTTGATTTAAGTGAGTCCCATGATTTTTTTTTTGATTATGGAAAATTTCAAACGTGTGCAAAAGTAGAAAGATGAGTATCTTGAACCTCCGTGTTTATCATTCAGCTTCAGCGATTGTCAAGATTTTGTCAGTTTTGTTTCTTGCCTTTCCTCTCTCTATACCACAACCCTTTTGGATCACTTTAAAGCAAATCCAAGACATGATATAATTTTCTGCCCCTGGCGTTCTCGACCACAAATTTACATCAGAGTCCAATGGGAAGGGATGTCTTCCAGGGCTCGACAAAAGGAGGTGGGCTGGCTGGGAGGTTGTGTACCGGAAAACTGGTGACCTGGGAGTCAGGGACCTGCCATCCTTCTTCAGTTTTGACCTTGA